GTTTTTAAAAAAAAAGTAAAAGAAATAATTAAATAATATAACCTTTATATAAAAATAAGGTCTTAATAATATAAGTTATATAAAGAACTTTAATTACTATTAATAATATAATAGTTATAAAGTTTAATTATAATAGATTTTATAATTAAGTTATCCTTATTAAAAAAACCTTTAATTAGAATCTTTTATAATAATATTATAGTTATAAAATTTAATTTATAAAATTCTCTTACTACTTACTTTATAAGGAAGTAATAAATATAAAAAAACTTATTTATATTTTTTATAATAGGATTATTAAGGTATATAAATTACCCCTTAAAATCCTAATATATAAGAGAATTATATTTACTAGTAAATATTAATAGGTATTAATAGCTTATATAAAAGTATATTATTAATATATAATTATATTAAGACTATAAGCTAATAAATAAATTAAATAAATAAATTAAGTAATAAAGTAATACTTATAATATTATATTAATTATTAATAAGATAATTAAGTTAAAAAGTATTTATATGCCTAACTAGCTTATAATACTGCCTATAATAAAAATATAAAGCTTATACTAGCTAATACTAATTTTAAGTTTATATTAAATACTTATTATAAGATATAAAAATTTAAATTTATTAATTTTATTATAATACTTAAAAGCAAAGACCTTAAAGACTTATATTATAAACTTTAAGTCCTTTATTTATATTAATAGTATATTAATATTATAGCTAATTTGCTTATTTAGTCACGTAATCTGTCTCATAACTCATTTAATCCTCTTTTTGCCGCCGATGCTAAATATCTTTAACTTTAGGTAACTAAACTTATATAAAACTTAATACATTTTTCCTCTAAACCCTGCAATTACCCTGCTTCTATCCTAGATATCGCGGTATAATATCCCCCTATCTCAGTCGCGCTCTCGTGGTCTAAGACCATAACCAGCCTATTACAGGTTCTCGGTCTTCTCTAGTACCTCCTTGGCCTGCTACCGGATATCCTTAAGCTACTTATTATATAAGCTGCCGTTAAGGGCCCTAAAGAACCCCCTCTCCTTCCTGCTTGGCTGCATCTCTCTATATAGCTTCCTTTCTAAATCCTTAAGCTTCTGCTTCTTATATTTAAGGAAGTCTTTATTAATTAAAAGGTTCTTATAGATAGACTATATAAGCAGGAAGATCTTATAACTAAAGATTACTATCTTAATGCGGCTAGTATTATCCTTATTAAACCAGGCCTCTTTAATATCTATAGCTATTATATATAGTATATTGCCCTTGCCTTTATTTTGCCTAAGAGCTTCTTTAATCTTAGGGATTATATTATGGCCTTTAGTTAGATAAGGCTTATTAGGCCTAGGTGCCTGCAGGCTTCTTTAGATAGCAGGCATCGTGACGGGGCAGCTGTAATGCTGTTAGCAGTTGCGGCTAGAAGGTATTCGGGTCGGGTCGGATGACTTACTAAAGTGTAATAGATAATTGAAGCGTGGTATCCTTTTAGGTAGGTTATAGAAAGAAGGTTAGGGCTAGCTAATAAGCAGGGCTTTTTAGCTGGCATATATATAGCTAGGTTTAGGCTATAATTAAGGTAGCTAACTATAATAATTTAACTTAATAAAGCTTTACTAGCTATAGGGGTAATAAATATTTAAACTATATTAGACTTTAGAGATGCTTAGATATACCTTTTAAGGCTAACTTATAAACTTAAAAAAATATAAAAATAAAAAAAAAATATAAAAAAATAAACTTTAAGTAAAACTTAAATTTATTAAAAAATAAATATAAAAAAAATATAATCTTAAAAAAGTAAAAAGACTTACCTTTTTAAAAAAGAAATATAATTTACCTATTTATTAAAATTATTATAATAAAGTAATTAAGTTATAAATTAAACTTTAAATATATTAAATTATATAAAGTTATTAAAAAAACCTTAAAAAAAAATTATAAACTAGATTTATTATTAAAAGTTATATTTTATTTAATTTATTATATTTTATTATTTATTTATATTTTTTTATTTTTTTTAAAGTTTATAAGTTAATAAAAAATAAAAAATAAAAATATTTAGTTAAATAAAAAAATTACTTAAAAAGTAAAAATACTTAAAAACTATTAAAATACCTTATTAATACCTAATAACTCTTAAAGAACTTTTACTAATAATGCTAATAGAAAAAATCTTACCTTAATTAATAATATTAAAATCTTTTACTAATTAAGCCTTAATAATAGTAAATAACTTAATATTATTTACTACTTTTAAGTTATTTATAGTTTTAATATTATAATAAAGTATCTCTTTACTATACTTTTATAACTACCTCTTTTAATAATAAAGATATATTATATATAGTACTTATAACCCTTCTTAGCCTAGTATTTTAAGTTTTAAGGTTTATAATAACTATAAGGTATAATAAGAAAATTAATATTTTTAATTAAAATTACTTAGACTTTTTAATTATAAATAACTTTTAACTTTAATATCTTATTAATATAATATTAAAAGGATAATTATAAGTTTAACTTAGACTTATTAAAAAAAATAAAAAAAAATAAGAGTTATATAAGTCTTAAGAATAAGACTTAATAAAGAGGAGATATTATATTATAATTCTTATAGTTATATTATATAAAACCTATAAATTTCCCTTAATTAATTTATAACTTATACTTTCTCCTTATTTCTATTATAAGCTATTTAATAAGACTTATAATTAGATTTATAACTTATATATAAGTATTAACTTATTATAATAAGTTATTATAAGTATATAAAATATATTTATTAATACTTTTATAAATTTTAGCTTATTAGCTATTAATATAACTTCTTTATATTAATTAAGCCTAATATGCATTAAATCTACTATTAAGAGACATAATACTTTAATAACGCTTAGTATATGCCCTATGCTATCTGCTAATAATAAACCTAGCACGGCTTAGTTTAACATAGTTGGACCCAACCGTCACATGTCCGTGCTGAGTCTACTGAGCTATCTGGCAAATCCTCTCCAGTTACCCTTTTCGAACGGAACTGCAGGGCTGTCTTTATGGCATGGCTCTGGATGGCCTTGTTGGCCGGTGCCGGTATGCTAATCGATATGTGAAATTCGTATTTGGGCATGCGAGCTTCCTAGAACGTGGCTTGAAATACTAGCTGGAGATAGTCATTGCTATCGAGTCATTAATCCTGCATAAAGGCCGGCAATCTAAACGAACCCTAAGACATCAAACAAGAGGTGACGAACGAAAACTGAATATGATACTGCTATTTTGGTTGAACCCGTTGAGTGAGTCGTGGTTGTTAAATCCGAACGGAAGGCGAGCGCTCGAAACGAAGGAAATTCGGCTGGTGATGGCGGTAATTGCCGCAGGCTGCAAGGCGCTGACTAATCCACCAAACCGTTTCGGGAGCCCATAGGTTCGCGGTACCCGCGAATTTAAAATTTCGCGGGTACTGCAACATGACTAAGTGTCGCAGGCCGGGCATGATCACATCGAGCCTCAGGAACAACAGCCCTTAGTAATCAAGCTAGGTGATTTAAAGTAAAACCTGTAGGATGGAATACCCCACACAGAAGATAGAGCCAATCAACTCACTACTGCTGCTCATTATGAATGACCCGACCTTCAATGCATTTTAAGCACATCCAGTGCGACACTAAGCATAAGTTTCACGCCTAAGGATAACGTTACTCTATTACGAGATAATCTTAACGCGCATACCGGTTTAATATATTAATAGAGTTGTAAAACGCACTTGACGGTAATGTGATTATTTTTAGTAAGTCTCAACCGTGATATAGGTAGAAGTATCTTATCCAGCGATAGCCATCTCGGATACAGTAGCCAATACCCTGGCTGCTTTACTAGCCAGTTTTGGAACTGGCAATGAGTAATCTATATGATTTCGGGGGGGTTCCAGGGGTTGCTGCCTTTCAAGAGCTAAAATCGCAGTATTGCAGGGGGATTAAATTGCGGTGTAGAGTATTGGTTGAAGAGATACTGGAAATGTCTACATTAAAAATAGAAATTATGGCAAAAGGGCACCTGAAGAAGCAAAAAGAAGTGACGGAGTGAAAGGAACCTGATGTCTTGTATCGGATTGATACACTTGTATAGCACCATGCAACCAGTCTCATGAGAGAAAACAGTGTGAAAAATGAGAAATCGCCAGTACCTTAGCTTATATGCACAGTGCTTAGTCCTTTTCGCGAAATTTTAAATTCGCGGGTACCGCGAACCTATGGGCTCCCAACCGTTTCGAGGATGAAGGGGATGACCAGGAGTAAATTTACGTTTGCGATAAGATCCCTGCAGGGGCAAGGCCTTACAGTAGTGGCAACGTCGGGTGGATCCGCGCGAGAGTACAGAGTACTTGGAGACAAGCCAGAAGCACAAGGTTTGTCATCAAAAACCCCAACCATCTCAGAAGCGGTATGGAATCTTGGGTGGCCCGCGGCGAAGACAGGGGTTTACTGCACGAGGAAAACCTGCTTACCCTAACGGAGAAACGCCAACATGCCCCACTTCAGAAACCAGGCAAGAGTGACTCCAGGGTGGCAAATGCAAAAAGCATTGGTAGTATATCGCTGCTGGTGACCGTGGGGACATACTTGAAGCGGCCACCGCAGACAGATATTATCGGCGTTAGGAAAAGTGCTCAGTTGAACAGGTATTCTTTGGGTGGTCAACCCGGATGCTAACCTGGATGCTATGTGCGCGCTCAATTCGGCGTGTAATGAGATACTATTACTTCTTATCTAGAATAATAAAAGGATTTAAATAATTAAATGTGGGATACATCCCTCGATATCCAGCCTCGTCTAGCCGAATTGAGCTCCATGTGAACCGCTGCTACCAGGCCATTGCTGCGTTCTCCATGGCAGAGGACGGAAATAGTTCACTATTGTATGAAAGAAATCTGTAGCGAAACCGGCAAGAAGACATCAACAGGGACCAGTGCATTCTCCATGGGTAATCTTTCATCGCTTCAGCCATCTCAAATGCACTTCTTTCGGCGTGTTCATCTGCAACGTCAGCCTCGGTTGGCTATCCTGCATCAAATTCACCAGTCTTTCCCTCGCCTGCTCCATACTCTCCGCCTGCTTCACTACTGGATCCACTCTGCAAGTCCGAAAGAGCGTAGCAATGATAGCCACAAATTCTACCTGGGACATCTTCTGGCCAGGGCAGGCTCGAGGACCACCGGACCATGGGAGGAATGTGCTCCGCTCTGGTGTGATGAGCTGAGTGTTTTCTACTGTACAGCCAGGAGTGAGCCACCGGGAAGGATTGAATGAGGCTGAGTCTTCTCCCCAGATAGATTGGTAGGTGTGCAGACAGGCGATGTTAATGTAGACGGTACAAGGCCCAGTGATGTGGTAGGTTTTGCCATTTGCTGTGATAGACTGTGTCGTTTGGATGCTGCGAGCGATGTGCATAGCTGGCGGGAATAATCGCAGTGTTTCAAACTAGTATCGAGACGATTAGCTCGGTCGACAGACAAGCTCGAGGCGGGAGGGGAGTTACCATTAAGGCCAAGCATCTCGTTAGTTTCGGGAAAGTCGTGGAATACTCGGGCACCTCACTTCCTTTCTGCGTACTCAGGACAAAGTCCAGCTCATCCTGTACCCACAATTGCCATTTAGGGTATGCAGCGAGGAGGGTGATAGCATAGGCCATCGTGTTAGCAGTTGTATCAAAGCCCGCTGCAGTGAAGATAAACAAGTTTCCTGCAATTTCCTCCTCTGTGAGATATTGATTTGCTCTCCCAAGTAGCTTGTCATGCCTCTTGCCCTTCTCTTGGTCTGACAGGCGAACGAGCATACTCATGATATTATCAGGAGCACCAACACCTGCGACAGTGCGTCGCCGTTCCTGATCCAGCATTTTCTTGGTAAGGTCTGGAAGATTTTGGAGTGCCGCCCCGACCGTCTGTAGTGGTTTGGGTAGCACTGGCAAGCGCAGGAGTCTTGCTGGTACTAGAGCAGCCACGACGAGTTGTTCTGTACACAACGAGATCGCATCGATATATGACATGCTCGAATCTGGGTCCCTAGGCAGTTCCATACGTCCAAAGGGCTTCGGCTGGCCATAAGCAACCTGGCCAAGAACGTTGACGGCAATAACGCGGAGTCCTTCGATGGTGTCGCGTGACTCGCCTTTGGGCATGCCAAGCATGAAATCGGCCATCTGGTTCGCCTGTTCCGTGCTCTCCTTCCAGACGACCTCGCTGATGCGCTCGTTCAGGCTCGGTGCGACGATGCGACGTTGTCTCGACCAGGATTCTCCATCGGCCTGCCAACGTAGGTATTAGCTACCATTTGCGAGGAGATGTGTGAAAAACCGCTGTTTATAGATGCCGTGATGCGCTAGGTCCAGCTGGTTCTACATGTCATGATAACACGAAAGGAAAGGCAACCAACCGTGACGATATTTTCCCCTAAAAAATTCATAACTTTGGATGCTGTAGGTGACTGGACAAAATCCTTCCTCCGTGCAAGTATCACTTGCGCCATCGCGGGATCTGCGCACAAAAGCTGATTTATGGCAGGCGTAACAAGAATAAAGGCAGGTCCAACCCGATCATGGAGATCATGTTTGTCCCTGAACTCCCATCCGAATATCGTGACTTTGATTGCGTCGTAGAAAGCCGCGGGTAAGACGCGCTCAAATACCGGTCTCAGCGGCACGCTAACGATGATATAGAACACCTAAAGAATGTTAAGAAAAGTCCTTTCCAACTGGAAATCGTGAACGCCCTCACATTCTCTGGGTCGAACGGGCATATTAAAATTGGCAAGCCCGATGCGCGGGCAGCTTGGTAGTTGTGGTAAAGCGCCCAAAGATTAGAGGCCATCCACGAAAGTGGCACGAGGGCAATGGCAACGTGCAGAAATCCCATGGCGCGTAGAAAATGTACTGAAATCTTGAAATGGAGTTCCGGAGGTTGGAGACAGAGCAGTCGTTTATAATGACTGATTCATGTTATGTGTGAGCCTCTTGACGGCGGACGTTAATCTCTGCTTTTTGGGGAAAGGCCACAGCCAGGGGCTTCATCTAGTGCTTACCTCATGGTGGATTATTCACCGAGCGCCAGGAACGTTTTGGCCCTGAGCATGCTGTCAAGTGGATTGGAACAGTCAAATCTCTCAGAACGGCTGTTTGCGCCGCCCCAGGCGCCACAAGCGGCCTGGCCAGCTTTCAGGGATCCGGCTTGTCGTATGCATGCCAAGCCAGGCTAGGCTTGCTGTTCGCTTTGCCGGACTTGTAGAGGAATTACCTAATTTGGAATATAGTTGAATGGAGCCCCCTAAGCTCAAGTTTAGCTTGCAGTTAGCTCCGTGGGCCATCTGCTCCTCCGAGCCTAGTCAAGCCAGCGTTTTACAAATTGTCTCGAATTAGAGATCCCGTCATCTTCTTGCCATCGCAGAGATGATATCGCCTCGATAATTAAGATAATGAACCCGAAGAGTTACTCGAGGCAGCATGCACGGACAGGATTGGATTATACTTTACGAAAATGATCGTTCTGAGGGACAACGGAACGGGATTTGGTCATGGCTTAGTTAGTAATGGGAGGGACCGGGAGTTAAAACGACTATTGTAGCTACAGTACAGGATTGGGAAGAGTCTCTTGTTGCAGTTATAATGAATACCTAGCCTCGATTCTGGACGGAATGGTTCCACAGGAGAAATGTCTTCGATCGTGCCTCCTTGTCGTAGCAATTCTATCCGAGAGTCAGAGTTGCTCTGGCAGGATTGATAAGCCTCATTTCGCTGTCACATCTGGCAACGTCGTTCCGTTCCGTTGAAGTATAGTCCCATGCAAGATCGAGTGCCTGTGTAATAGGTGAGCTGAATATTGGCCAAGTGTTGTGCGGACGGGCTCTTACCCGACAACGAGGGGATGATAGGGGAATAGGGGTCGGCTAGCCTGAGATCTGCCATGGCTGCAGTGCAAAACAAGGCGATGGCCAAAGATGCTTGAAGCATCGCAAACTGTGAACCTGAGTAAACTTTTGTTGCCTAACTCGACTGATGCTCAACTCAACTGGAAAAATGGGAAAGGTCTTACGTTTAATTCGCCGCCGATTAGCTCACCGTAGCTTCATCTTTATTACCTAGAATGGCAAAAGGTTTTTAACCCATACGTAATACATCTCTCAATGTCCGCGATTGTCTCGCCTCTTTAATCCTCTTGGTTGGGATACGTATTTGGATCATCTGTTACCTGGTGCCTCCCCCGTGCTTCGTGCATGAGTCATATGTGAACCGCACCTGGGAAGCCATTACCATGTTCTTAATTATAGAGGATGCAAATTGAGAGTTTAGTATATAACATTAAGTCCATCGCGAAATAGGGAACTGCACGTCATTAGGGACCAGTGCATCACTCCTTAAGAGACTCGTCACTCATCTCATGGTGGGGTATTCATATACCGGGCGGTCAGAGACCATTTGGCTCTGAGAATGCTGTCAATTGGATAAAATATTCAAACTGCCTGGGGCGTCTGCTTGCACTGCCCCTGTTACTGGAAGAGGGCTCGACCGACTTTGAGGGATCCAGTTTGTCGTATGCATGCCAAGCCATGCGAGGCTAGCTGTTCGCTTTGCAGCACATGAAGAGGAATTACCTATTTTGGAAAATAGTTTAACGTACTTACGTACCATTCTATACTCCATGAACCTGATCACATCATCAAGCATTCGTTCATGATTCTCGCTAGTGCTGATGGTAGCCACGAAAATAGAGCCAATTTCGGATATGATTTGAGGGAAGGCCAGCAACCCGGGTATTCGGGTAATCGATTTTGTGGGTGCAGGTACCCCCACGTGGAAACCCGTCCGAGCTGGCAGTCGCGGACAGGGAATGCAGGTTCGGGGATATGGAATGCTGGGTGAGAAACAGTTTCTGGTATAAAGAGCCTGGAGATATGGCGATGCCGACCAAGTCGCATATACGATCAGTTCACAACAACATCTTCAACCTCACATATTTCCATCAACTTCATCTTAGGCCTACAACAGTCCTACAATAATTCTCCACCACTCCGAATCATGGCTGTGGAGCAAAACAAGATGTCACGCAGAATCGTCATCATCGGCGCCGGTTTCGCCGGGGTGTGGAGCGCCCTCTCAGCAAAGCGTCTCATCAACCTCCACAACACGGAGCAAAACATTGAGGTCCTCGTCACTGCCCCAGAACCAGCGCTAGTAATGCGTCCACGCCTCTACGAAGCCAACGCCTCAAGGATGAATCATCCTCTCGGATCGCTCTTTAAGTCTGCTGGTATCAACTTCTTCCAGGGCACCGCCGAGGCCATCGATACGAAGTCGCAGACGGTCCATGTTCGATCAGTGTCAGGAGATGAGTCCGATATTGAATTTGACCGGCTCATTCTAGCAGCTGGAAGCTCCGTCGTACGACCAAAGAGCGTCAATGGCCTTGGACAGTATGCATTTGACATCGACTCTTTGACTTCTGCGAGCAAACTCGAGTTTCATCTCAAGAGCCTAAAATCACTTCCGCAAAGCAAGGCTCGTGATACTGTAGTCATATGTGGTGGCGGTTTCACTGGTATTGAGCTTGCAGCGGAGTTTCCGAAACTGCTTCATAACATCGACAACGTCCGCGTCGTCCTTGTTGAAAGCGCGCAAGATCTTGGACCAGAGCTGGGAGCAGGCCCTCGTCCCACCATCACGAAGGCCCTGAAACACCTCGGGATTGAAGTCAAACTGGGGTCCGCAGTTACTGCCATTGATGACAGCGGTGTGACTCTTGCCTCTGGTGAGCGCATCGAAGCAACGACAGTCGTTTGGACCGCTGGTATGCGAGCAACGCCCCTCACACAGCAAATCCGCGGAACTAAGGACCCTCTCTCCCGACTTCACGTTGACCAATATCTTCGCGTTCCAACCTGTAGGCACGTCTTCGCCACCGGCGACGCCGCTCACGCCATCGCCGATACAAAAGGCCACGCCGCCTTGATGTCCTGCCAGCACGCCAACGTCCTCGGCCCCGTCTCAGGCCACAATGCAGCAGCAGACCTCCTCGGCGAAACGATGATAGCGTACTCGCAGCCAGAGTACAACTGCTGTCTCGACCTTGGATCCTGGGGTGCGATAATTGCACATGGCTGGGACAGAGAGGTTAAGATCACAGGCCATGTCGCCAAGCAGGTCAAGGGGTATGTCAACCAGAAGCTGATTTATCCGCCGAAAGATGCAAAGGAAGCAATCAAGGCTGCGGATCCCGCTTGTTCTGACTCAGATGGCCTTTTCAAGCAGTTTCTGGGAGTCTTGGGATGGACGCTGAGTAGTTGGAAGGGGATGAGGACGGCGGGGCATTGATTAGGCAAAGAAGGAGCAGTTTCAGGGAGACATACGATTCCCCAATCATAAGAGACCATGCAGATGACTCAAACAGGGCGGCCAATACATGGGCACCAAATTAGGTCAGCGATTGTCGCACCGATTGCCCGACCACTGCCTCAGGTTGCAGTATCGTCTTCTAACAATTTTCAAGAATAAATAGATAAATCAACTACCATTTGACAACAATACAATGTTTTACCGAAATAATAGCTAAGTATAAAGCTTCTTGCTCCTCACTGTCTCGCTTTACGCTCTCCTAGATACCCTTCACCTTATATCTCTTATTAGATAACGGATTATTGTGATAGTTATATTTCCTAAGGGATAAACTAGTCTATATTAGGTTTATATTAGTAGGATATATAAGATATAATACTAAGCAGTATAAAATAATATAACTCTTAATAGATAAGTAATATAGATAAGGCTTATATGCGCTTGCGGCTATAAGGGTTTAAACCCTCTATAACATCTGCAAGCCTTTCTTCCGTATAGTTCCAGCCGGTCTTATACTGCAGACGACGCTTTCTAGCATCCTGTGCACTTAGGCGTTCGATCGACATCTTAGCTGTAATTAAGGTCAGCGTTGCAGTTAAGGCGTAAAGTGGAAGCTTAGGAGTTTGACCTACTAGTAACTTGACTTGTGAAGTGCGTGCTTTAGTCGGGACTTGCGGACTTGCGAGTAAGTATGTGGTTTATGTTGTTTTTGATCAGGCTAAGTGCTGACTTTTAGAGTCAGGGACTAGGTCTTCAGTTGAGGTGTGACTGGAAGGGCGATTGACGAGATGGACTGAGGGTCTTTATGCCCTTCAGCTTGTCAAGCTGCTATATGTTCTCTATTAAACTTAGATATATGAAGGTTTTTATATTATAGCTAGATAACTTTATCTGATTTTTAAGTTATATAGCTAAATAAGAAATATAAAGAAAGTAATTAAAAATAATAAGAAAATAAGTAGTAATAAAAAATAGAAAAGAGGGAAAAGATAAATTAATAGCCTTTTAAAGAGGCTTTTTAAAGGTATTTTAAATTAACTTAATTAAGCTATTAAAAGAGATTTAAGTAATAGAAGCTATTAAGGTAATTTTAATTTTTAAAAAAGTAAAGTTAATAGCTATATTAAGTTAATAAACTACTATAAAACTAATAAGCTTTAACTATCTTTAAGTTTATAAGGCTACTTATTAAAAAGATAAAAGTTAAAAGAAAGCCTTAAATATTTATACTTTTTATATTTCATTTTTACTACCTTTTTTTAAAGTAATATAAAGGTTATCTTTACTTAAGTCTTTAAAAATAGTAACATACATAATAAGCGCGTGCACCAGACAAGTGCGTGTACCAAAAATCCCTCAACCTTACATCTCACTATCTGATCAATTAGTTCTCAACCATTTGATATGTCACAACCTTATAAAGAAGCTAATATCCTTCTTGCACTTCAGGCCCTACAGGGAAACCCAAAATTAAGCCTCCGCAAGGCTGCTAGGTTATATGAGGTTGACTACTGGGCTCTTCCTCGCCGACGCAATGGCATTTCTGCTGCATCGAGTATTATCCCTAAGTCACGGAAACTATCTGATCTGGAGGAACAGATTATAGTTTAGTTTATTCTCGACCTAGATTCGCGAGGATTTCCTCCCCGACTGCATGGTGTTGAAGAAATGGCTAATCGACTACTTTCTGACCGCAATGCGCCACCTGTCGGCAAGCGCTGGGCTTCTAACTTCGTCAAGCGACACAAAGAGCTCAAGACATGGTTTTTTCGTAATTATGATTATAAAAGAGCCAAATGCGAAGATCTAACTATAATTCGTAACTGGTTTAAGCTCATAGAGAACATAATCGCGAAATATGGTATAGACCTGGCTAATATCTATAACTTTAATGAGGTCGGCTTTCTGATAGGTATGATTGCAAGCGGAATGGTCGTCACGGGTGCAGAAAGACGTGGACGACAGAAATTAGTGCAGCCTGGAAGCCGGGAATGGATTACTGTCATTCAAGCAATTAATGCGGAAGGCTGGGCGATCCCGCCGTTCATCATTGGTGCGGGTCAGTATCATCCCGCTACCTGGTAGGGACTTTGGCAGCTAGCCGCCTTGATACTGCAATTGTCCTAGCCCTAACTAGGACGAGAGCCACTGCAGCAGCTTCTATAGCCTGGCATACCTCTAGTGGCCTCTCTAGGTCAATTTGGAATACTTCTAAAAGGTCTTCTTAGAGGGATTTCTATACCCCCCCTTTTTTCTAGCTTTTTAGCTATATCTCTCTTTTACTAGCTTTCTAGCTATACCTATTTTATAGGCCTCTAGCTATATACCTACCTTTACTTTCTTTTAAAACTTTATTCCCTTATTTTTATACCTTTTTACTTAGCCTTTTAGCTATATTTTAGTTAGAGTAAAATACCAGGGCAGACTAGCTTAAATAGTTTAATACTAACCCTATCCTAACTCTAAAAACGCTAACATAATCGTCTCCTCCTAATTGTAGTTGTTTGACCAAGTATAATATATGCTGCATTATCTTTACCTTATTGGATCCCAGATGCAAGCCATATACCCCGTGACGCTGCTGTGGCGGGTACTGCAGAGCGCGGAATACAAAGCAGATGAATCTTTTCTATATTGCCAAATATCGTTTAAAGCTTAAAATGACCTGAAATCTATGCGGCTAAAAAGCATCTTTTGTAAATATGTTTAGCTAATAGCGAGAGATATATGGCGTATAATTAAGTATAGCTCTTGCCCTATTAAATACTAAGCCTAGCCTATAAAGGATGATCTGCAGCTGGGCCTTAGTTTCGGCAGAGCTCTATAAAGGGAACCCTTGCTATTGGCCAAGTAAATAGTTTCTACTTAGTTGCAAGACTAGTTACTTAGCCGTGGCGGCAATAATTTCGAGTAATCTATTACAGAATATCTCGGCCTAGCGGGTGTGTTAGAGCCATGGGGTCATCTCGCTCGTTCTAGCAACCGCAATACGGTCAGTTTAAGTACTCTTAAATAGTCTTTTTATAATGTAGATATCTCGACTTTAGGATCAATACTTGCAGATGGCTTAAGAGGGTGATGGTAATGGAACTCTCTAACTGCTAAGAGCCCGTATGCCTTAATATGTAGGTAGCTAGGATATATGTCATATATGCATCGATGCGTTTAGGTTATTTGCATAACTTAAAGTCGAAACTCTTTAATGGAAAAAAAGCAAAGTCGACTAATAAAATAGCGAGATTACCACTTTGGCTTAAACTTTGCTTGGAGTATATATATTGAGAACCCTCTTTCAGGTGAAAGTGGAATGCGGGGTTGATATAAGGATTATCAGCCAATGACATTGCGAAATGTCCACTTTCATCGAAAGTGAATGAATCCATAGAGATGTAGGAAGCGGGCAACTACAAACTCGTTATTTGTAGCCCTCTTTGCTTTATGATGACGTGTGACGTAAACGAACGATTGGTCATACACATATATGCCTCTCGGATGAAGCTCGCTATTGCAGCACAATAGAGTCAGAGCTTCGGTACAGCGCGGCAACTGCCCGCCTGCACAGAACATGCCGCCTAGGATAGCGCTAAGAAATGCCTGATCTTTTTTGAAATACTGAAAGACAGCATTCCAGTCCTAGCCATTGCCGCGAAAGAGCCCATTGCGATGGGCTGTACTTGCTCGATGGACGAGCTCGAGGTAGGCCGTATCTAGCTTATTTCTGGGATAGAGGACAAACGAGAAGCCCTCTTTGTTGTTGGTCATGTCGTCGGTGATATTGGCTAAATCTATAGCTGGGTCCCAGGCGAACATCATTTCGTTACATAACATGGCTGCCTCCTTGATGAAATGCTTAGGCAATCGCCGGAACTGGCTCATTGAGACCGAAATCTCATCTCCCAGTGAGACTACCTGCCCATTGTCACTCCAGCGGAGGAGATGAGGCGGTGTATCTGTCCGAGCTATAACCTGGCCGTAATTTCGCAGACTTAGCAGCTCTTCCATAGGGGATTGTAACTCCATCACCATATACTATCTCCGAATCGACTGTAGCCTCTCAAGCTAACCTACTCGCGGTCATCGTTCAATTTCAAGAGTGGGATATGCCTGTAGAGGTAAGGCATATTCGAGAAAGACTAAGCGGAGGATGTAGATGAGCCTAGAGAGATTAGATATATAGGACCTAGCTGGTAGGAAAGCACTACCACCCGGTGATGACGAGAAGCCTAGGATGCCACTGAAATACACCAGCACGGTCGTCTGTGGTTGACCATTGACCACTGGCTGGGTGGCAAGTGCCAGGGTTAGACCAAATAGTAGCTCGACAAGTTCTTCAGGAGATCCTGGGCCGGCACCTGCCTCGACCTCTATATCATACTCGTCATCATCTGTTATTTCACCTAGGTCTTTTAACCACGTAGTGAACCCCCTGTCCTCCTCTTGCTGATTAGCACCTCCCTTACCCTCTTCACTGTGATCCTCTGCATTATCTTCTTCTTCTTCCTCTCCCATATCATCTTCTTCGCTATCCTCCTCCTCCTCCTCCTCCTCTTCATTATTATCACCAACATCCCCATTTGCACTCTGGCTGCAGTCCCCACGTCCTGCTACAGCTGCTTAAGCACGACTAGCCGGGTGCTTATATCTCCCTGCGAGCTCCTCTAGGGCGGCCAAGTCCGTAAAGGCCCCGTAATTCCAGATAGCATTCAGTAACTACAACTGCTTTCTATTCAGGGCTAGGCCCATAACCTGCAGGCGCTTATCATCAGGCAGCCTATAAATGCGTAAGATCATCGCCAGACACCGTTTAAGCAAGAGCCGATACTTAGTTGACGATGTTGGCTGTATAAGGGTGAAAGGCTTGCTGTAGATTAATGATGCCTGTATACTTCGGAGCCAGCAGAGCATATGTCGGCTTATCCCCCTTGCTGTCTCCTCACAACGGTTTATCATCACGTCTACCAGACGAACGAGGCAGGCAATCCTATCCTCATCCTCACCCAGGCTGACGAGGTCTTCATCGAGGCCGCATTGTTGGCCGTGCCCGATATAATATTCCCGTCCGCCCGGAGATGTAAAGGTGCGCGTTAGGGCTGCAAGCACTTCGCGGCGACCTTTACTGCTATACGTTCAGTCCCAGCCAGTTCGATCTAGCCAAGGCGTCTGCAATAGAAATGCCGTCATATCGGCCGGTTGAGCTGGAGGCGCCGCCGTCATCACACCGGGGGGCTGTTCTCGGCTGAACTCGCGTGTCAGTACGCCATGCAGGTAGGCCTGCACTATAGGGCTATCTATCTGCCGGACCATACTTCCACCTCGCTTAATGATCCAGTATTTCCGTGTTGACCTAGTGGTCCATGTCTGCAGATAGATATACTCGAACTGCTAGTCAAGATCGCGACGGCGATAGGGTCGGGCAGACCTGGCTCTAGAGTCACAGCAATCATCCGGCGGGTTAGACTGGTAGCATCGCATCGACTGGATATTAATGGTGCGGAATTGGCAGTTGATGCAGGCGAAGCCTTTATAGACTTGCAGCTTATCGTGCTTAGCTGATCTGTCGGCTCGGGGCGATGTATTATCAGGTTCTAAGGGTGCAGGGGATAAAGATTTCAGAAGTCGATTTAACCCTTTTCTGGCCTCTGTAGAAATGCTATGCTTATTATGTAGATGTGTTGTTATGCGTGATGGGCCATTGGATAATGCGAATTTGCAGCTCTCTCTAGTGCAGATTAGGAGACGTGCGCTGGTATTAAAGAAGAGCTGTAGATTATCGAGAAGGGCATTATTAGCCATTATATAACTAATTTTAGTATCTTAGGAATGCACTAGATCCTATTGCCTTAATACTATTATAATAGATAATGCTATATAAAAAGGGATCTAACAGGAAGTGCTCGAGATATCATACATATACGGACTAGTATTTTGGTAATTTAACGAAATATGTGGACATGACGTATGCACGGATAACCCAGCAACGTGCACGGGCCAGTTTTGTTGTATTTCGTCGAATTACCACCACGACTGCGTACAGTAGGCAGGTGCCTCAGGCTTTAAGTATAATAAAGTAAAGTCAATCCCTATAATAGATAACCTCATACGCCCGAGGGACTTATTTATATATAATTCCCTTACTAATTCGTCCTTCTTAAGTTGCTTAAATTGCTTAGAAGGATAACAGCCTTATATTATTTCTCTTAACTGTATATAGTGGTGCCAATAACTAATGCATGCCAAAGAGAAGAAAGAAGCCTGCTAATAAAGGGGCATAATCTAAGCTAATACAGGAGACCTTTAGTAATGCCGCAATAAAGGTTATTCCTATACTAACTATATCTGCTTCTTATAACAATAAAATGAATTACGTGGACCGAGGAGATTAGATAAGGTCCTATATAAGCTACAAGCACCGATTTCGCCGTGGCCCGTGGCAAGCGCTCTATTGGTCCTTCCTTCTCGATATAACACTTGCAAATAGCTTCATTTTGCAGCTCAAGACCTTACAGCCGCAGTGTCCGCCTTATAAGACCCTAGAGAGCTGGAAAAGGTGTATTTCTGACGCCCTATTTATCAAATTTAGCCAAGAAAGTGGCGCAAGGAAGAGATCTAGGTCAGGGAAAGAGGAGGACTTGGATCATACTCAATCACGGCAAAATCATCTGCAAAGGGATATCAATTATGTCAATAGGGGGATATTCTCGGATTGCCTTGCTTGCAAAGGCTTTAGGCAGGGGCAGCCCTGACCCTTTAAAAAGAGGAAGGTTGAAAATAGCTTCTTTTTGCAGCCGATAACAGGTAATGCACAAAGTCGGCACCGAGGAGGCTCAGGTAGGCAGACCTTATACGGCTGTAATTAAAGTCTGTGAGGTAGCGACTTGTAACAATTAAAACTGCTAGGACTTTTACCATCATATAAATTAGTATGTGTGGAGAAGTACCGCTAGTTTTATCTATTTTGATTGGTTTGATACCCCTGTCGTGACCCCGCCTATGGGCTGCGGCACTCAAAGGGATAGCTTACCTAGAACCTAATTAGTCTAGCTAATTAGTGTCAGATAGCGCGCCCTCACTACGAAACTGATAATGAAAGATTATGTTGAGATGATCTTGAGTGTATTGATGATCTTCCTTGTTCTTTGTTCTCCCTCGTTGTCTTTGTATCTGAGGAGGTGAGGCCAAGATACTAGACCTGCTGATTCTATAACAGATCTGAAACGCTGTTCTGATAATTCAGATATCATGGGGTGATATCTTCCCTTGGGGTGGCGGTGGCTGCCTGTGTAACATCATTATGTGTCGCACTGAGCGTGCTAAAAGGATCAAGGGTCAGGTAAACGATAATCAGCAGCAGCAGTGCGTTGATTGGTTGTTGTCTGAGGTTGTCTCTTGTGCGGGATACTCTATCCCGCAGAGCTACATATAAGCATATGGCTAGATTACTAACGCAGTTGTTTCACGAGGCCGTGAAGATCATGCCTACCCTGCGACATCATGCAATGCCACTTCTCCAACACCTTTCTGATGAAGAGAGTGGCGGCGGCCTAAGCCATTAGTCAGCCCCCCAGGTACTCGTTGATAATTCCTTCAGGGTTGAATTGACGTGACTAACTAGTCAGTCACCAGGCTTCCCCTCACCTACTAAATAAACGTGGCTGCGCCTCCTGAACCTAAAGGCTTCTCGACCAATACGGCTCCAAGCCAGCCGAGCAGGGGTGGGGTGCATTAGGCCGTCTCGATTAGTGTCACGTTCTAAAAGAAAAGAGTCCCCAGCTTCCAGCTCCTTTTTTTCATACGGCACCTCTATGACACATCATGGCAGCATCAAGGAGCCATGGCCGTCCATGCTCCCACTCCGACAGCGGTACTTATCAGCGAGTGGCTGCTGCTCTCCATCGCTGCGGCCATGATCCTCGCCCGTCTGTGGCTGCGAATCAGGATAAACCGCCAGAGACTTCTGCTCAGCGACGTCTTCATATGTCTAGCGTGGTTCTCTGCCGTGGCCTCCGCATCGGTCGACGTCTACTTGAAGTGTGTGGGTATCCTCCGCCAGGATGAGGATGCCTTCTTACAGATATACGACGGTGACCCTAAAACCCGGCAAAGTGCATTACTGGTCTTACCCCCGCCCCCCTCCCACCTCCGAAAATAATCAACTCAGAACTGATGTTGGAAGTCATTGTTTGATCGGACTGACGACCTTGTAGTACTTTTGGGCTGGCACCTTCGCTTTCTTTACGGCCTTCTGGTGTAGTAAAATGGCCATCTTAGCCTTCTATCTACAGGTCTTTCCTCCGGTCTTTCGGATCTACAGAATCATCATATGGCTTGTCATCGCGTACTCGGCTTCAGGATATATTGTGGCCATGGCGTTGAACTTGTTCTTGTGCTGGCCATTGCAACGAAACTGGTACGTCGACCAGGAATAGCACCAAATGCCAACCCGAATCTTGCTCAAGGCTGACATGGGCTTACAGGGCTACCGACCAAACTGCTTGTATCGCAGAAATACAAGTCAAAATTGGCTGGAGGGTTGGGTGGGCTCTACACTTCTCCTCCGACGTGATCAGTGAGCAAGCGAGCGAGCTCTTCTATTCCCTAGATCACCTTCCAAGATGCGCTTACATAAATTGTCTAGTATTTGTGCTCCCCTTTATGATATTGCGTAATCTCCGGATGGACAAGTTGGTCCGGTTTGGAGTATACTGTACCTTTGGGCTAGGCGCTATCAACATTATATTCTGTTTGGTACGATTCCTGGTGGTCGAAGCGTCGACAGATATCGACAATGGAAAAATGGTACCATTGACTCTTCTTGGTAGGCCGAGTATTTTCATCCTCTATTCCCCTCCCTCATGCAAAATTCAAGGTTACGCACAAGCAGCCCAGGTGGTTTCCCGGACGTGTCTAACGAAACACGAAAACCAGACGCGCTGACATTGCCGTGTATAGAGCTTTGGAGCAGCACCGACTGCAACATAAGCGTTATAATTGCCTGTATGCCGGCTCTTCGCCCTTACTTACGCTTGATACATGCGCGCTATGGAAGAACCATATCAAGTGGTCCAACATCAAGCCCCCGAGGCCCGCGAATAGTGCCTAGGGCCCATCTAGATACGTTAGAGTTATATACTGTTACCCGCGGCGTTGATTGGGAACGTGAGTTGCCAGCGGACCAAGCGAACACCTCTGGCGAGCCGGGCATGAGCGACGATGCGACCAATGTAATCTCAAACAATCCTGGTGAAAGGCAGGGCAAGCATACAGGAAGCCAAGTGCGGCTGGTGCAGGTTGGTGAGTTATAAAGAACGAGAGAAAAGGGTCCATAGTCTAATAAAACCCCAAGCGTCTGCGTACTCGATTTATAATTTTCGCCAAAATCGTCATACAAATTATTTCAAAGTCATCTATGAGTTCTCAATCAATACCGGGCGAGGCCCTAAATGCATATGATGATAGAAGCTTCATCAGAGAAGATGACAGCCGCCGTGAGCAAGAAGGGGATAGCACGCGGCAGCCCGATTTTCCTCCCGCCACAGACCGAGGCTTCAATTTTCAACCTTTCAAGTGTTGCATATGCCTCTACCCAGATTGTCACAAGAATGCACCACAAGAGTCAGAGTGGTGTTACAGATCTGTTGCAGGTTCGGCAGGTCTCGTATCATAGCCTCGTCTCGTCGAATATAATGAGGACGAGGAAGGACGAAGACGACGAGCGACCGGTTATGAAATAAGCGAGACCACCCCGTATATCGCAGCCACGGAGTTGTTTCATTCTGTTCGACGCCGTGATAAACTGACGGATGATTATGACGGAGCTCTGAAGGCCATATGTTTAAGAATAGCCTGAGTCACCGGATTAGTTAGATAATATTAGACTAACTCACCGCCACCCCACACATCCCCCGTCCCCGCACACCCGTGATAGCATCACAACTAAATCCATAGATGACTTTAATTAATTCTATAATAATGAGTATTTATTTAATTTAACTAAGAATTTGGAAACTAATTTATAAATATTATATCTGCAGTCTATATTTTTAATAGATTCTTTTTATATTATTTTCTTTTATTTCCCTTAATCTGATGTAGTATGTTCTTTTTAGCTTAATTATAAGCTAAGATAATTTATTTAATTTTAGAGAAAGCCTTATTAAGGTTAAATTAAATAGCAACTTGGCTAGTAGGCTCTCTTACTGCTATTAATGCCTTTAATACTGCTTTTTCCTTTTTTAAGTATTAAATTTAATTATTCTTTTAGTTAATATATTTTATTACCTTTTTTATAATATAATTAAAGTTATAAATAAAGGTATTTCCTTAACTTTATATAGATTCTAGTTATTTTTAAATATTAATACTTCCTTAAGGTATACTTTAGATTATATTAGCAATTACTTAGGCCTTCCTTAGTATTATAGGCCTATTAAAGCGCTTGCGTTTCTTCTCCCTTGGCTTCAATGCCGCCAATGCCTTTTATAGATTAGTTAAGAAAAGCCTAGAGGCCGAGAAGCTATTTATTATATTCTTACGGCTTAGGGCTTTTAATAAAGCCCTCTTATATGCTTTTAGGAAGAGTTATTATTAGTATAGTAAGGTTACTTTATATAAGGCTAAAGAGCAGGTAAACTAGTAATAGTATGTTTTTAATAGCCTAAATATAATAATATTAAGCGGCTAAGTAATATATAATAAGTATAAGGGTAACTAAGAGAGCTAAATCTTATATAACTATGCCTTTTTTATTAATTCTGCTATAATATATAATTTATACTAGTTTAGGATTAATAGTCTCTATTACTTAAGATCCTTTAACTTAGTCTATAATATAAATATATTTATAAACTAATAAATAAAGATATTACTATTAGACTAACTAGTTAGACTATAAGTATACTTCTAATTAGGAAAAACAGCTAGAAACTACTATCCTTAAAGGTTTTTACTAGTAAAAACAATATAAGGCATAAGATGCCAATAATTTGCTAATATAGACTTAATTATTAAGCTTTAAGTTATATTATTAGACTTAATCCTCTTTAAGGAAGAAATTATTATTATTTTAGCTATTATATTATTATTAGTCTTATTAATTTATATACTAGTTTTATTAATATTATATATATAAGGCCTAGTTATCTTATTTATATTAACTATATAGTTAAGATTATTATAGTACTTAAAAAGTAATTCCTTTATTATAAAATACTTCCTTATAGATTATATAACTTATAATGGCTTTTATTTTATATATAAATAGCAGGTAAAGAATTTATTAATATAGTTCTTGCTAATATAATAGACTTGCTTATTAACTTATAATAATGCCTATATAAAGTTATAAATATCCTTCTTTATAAAAGGCTAAAAAGCATGCTTTTATTTAATAATATAGTTAACTAGGTTATCTTCCTGCTCTATAATAAGTAACTAATCTTTCTAATATACTATATAGATATCCTGGCCTCTAGCGTATTAATTATATAATATTAAGAGCTTAATTAAGTGTTTTATTACTAAGGGCTATAAACTAATAATTTCTATATACTTAATAGCTAATAATATCTTCTTTTTATAATTTAATAGCTGCAATTCTATTATTATTAAAATTAAAAATAAAATAGATTTTATTTAATAATATAAAATAAAATAAAGAATCTTATATTAATAATATATTAATAGTGTTAAAGTATGTAGGGACGGGGGGTATATAGGGTAGCAGTAAGTTAGTCTATATAGTATAAGTATATAGCTATTAAGGATAAAGATTAATTAAAAAGGGTTAAATCTTTATTATATATACTAAACCTATTTTCGTATTTTTATAGCGCAGTTATAAAATACATATAGTTAAAATGTTAATTTGCATAAAGGCTTTTAGAAGGTAATATCGTTTTGCGCTATAAAGGTAAGTCTAGCTATAAAGGTTATAATAAAGGAAGAGGCTAACTAATAAGAAGGTATATTATTTACTCTTAATTAAAAAGCTAGCTAGAAGCTTAATAACCCTATTATATTTTTAGTAAAAGAGGATATATAGGGGTGTAAGCTAATAAAAGACCGCGAATTTCCACTTTTACTAAAAGTTAGCTAGATAAAAGGGGTGTAGTAATAATAAAAAAAGTCTTATTATTAGAGTTTTGTAAGACTTATTATAAAGCTATAGTAATAGGATAAGAGCAGGTAGATAAGATGCTATTAGAGTAGTAATTAGATATTAACATTTCTGCTATTTAAGATAATTTAATATATTAAAAAGCGGGCTAGTTATTTATTAAGAAAGCCGAGAATAATCTAATAGATATATAGAAGATATTACTTTATAGGTTATAGAAGTTGTTATTTTATAGTATATCTTTTATGAAATTAGGATATTAGTATAAAGAGACTTGCTATAAGTATCTTAGTGCTGGTATTAAGCTTAATAAGTCTGATTTTGCAGCAATTTACTTTAAAGCCAATCTGCCTAGCTAGGGCACTAAGGTAACTAGTATTTAATACTTAAACTTAAAGCTATTTATATATAATATATATCTTTATAATAAATAAATAATTATTATTAGTTATAATAAGGCCTAAGTATCTAATTATTATATATTTTATATTATTTATTATACTCCTATAGATCTTAGCCTTAGCCTCTTAAAGTATTTTATTATTATTTATCTAGTTTAGGAATTCTTAGCTAGGAAGATATATATAATATGCTATAATAGCAGAGAGTTCTTTTTCTTAAACCCTAATAATAAAAGGAAGTATCTATTATTAAAGCAAGCTTTAGGCATCTTAGGAAGTAGGACTTAAGACCTAGTTATGCCCTAGATATTATTGCTATATAAATAAGCTATTTTAGTAATTGCCTAGAAGTACTTAGTAAAGCTAGTTAAGAAGATGAACTTCTATTACCCTTCTAGCATGGCTAACCTAATGCGTATATTTATAGCAGGAGCTAGTTATTATCCTTATATATTACTAATTATATATACTATTACTTAAGCTCTTCTAGAAAGACTTTAATTAGAGCTATTAGAGATATATTACTGCTTATTAAATATTTAGTAAGAATAGAGTAGATAATTATTACTAAGAATATTGCCTTTATTTATAAGAAAAATCTACTGGTATAAATGCCGCTATGGCCTGTAAGATCTGTAATAAAAAGTTATCCACTTTAAACCGAGTTAGCTAGTATATATAGTTACGTCTAGGCATAAGCCATAACTTATATGGCGTTTTAAATCATCTTACCCGGCAAGACCACACTACTGAATAGTTGTTAGCTTAGAATTAATTTATATTTTAAGAAAATACTCCCTTAATTGTTATCTTTTGATGCATATTACTTTAGGCAATTTTAATTAGCAGGTTTAAATGAGCTTGCACCCTATACTTTAATAGCGCTATTTCATTTCTATGGCATTCTAAATGATTTTGGGGGGCAAGATTACTTTAACTACTTGGTAGGATAGGATAGGGCAGTTAATAAAGCTGTAACCACTTTTAAACTAGAGATATTGTCTTTAATCTTTAATAAGTCGATGTGTAGATGTATACTAAATATTAATTAATTGCATAGTGCTTCTGCCTATATAATAAAATAATCTATAAGTTTATAGAAGTTATTTATTATTACTATGCATAACTACCCTTTTGCTATGTAAAAAAAAAAAAGCACTACCTAAACTTATTAATTTTACTTATACTAAAGTTAGCTAAAATAAATATCTACTTAAAAAAAAAAAACTATTATTAATTATAGAAATAATTAGAGGTAATTATTTTAAATCTTTAAGGCTATGCAGGGTATGTAATATATATATATTATATTATAGAAATATTATTAATTAGATAACTAAATTCCTTATTACTTTTTGCCTTATTTTTTAGTCTTTATCTTAAATAATAATAAATAAATATCTATATTATAACTTTAATAAGAATATATAGAGGATAATATAATTAAGGCTATATTAGATATTACTAATAATGGCTTTTTACCCTCTTAAGCGGCTTAGAGATAGGGAGTGCCTTAAAGGACTTTAATTAACAGACTTAATAACTAGATAGCTATAAAAGAGCAGATCTAGCCTTGCTGATATTTATTTAAGAATTAAGAGGACAGATTGGCTTTCTAGATACTCTATTAGAAATCCTTAGGCTATGCTCTGTCCTATAATTAGGTCTATGCTTATATTATAGGATTATTAAGATAGCAAGGCAAACATTTTAAGTTAGGATATAATTAGGTAACTAGATTTATTAATTACTATATAAACCTAAAGACTAAGATAGGTAGATATTAAGAAGCTAATAAGTTTAACTCTTTTATACCTAAGGCAGGTTATTAATACTTTAATATTAG